GGGGGGGGGGGGAGAGACACTGCTGCGGTGCGACCCCGGGTGGCTGTCGGGGAGGGGAGGCAGGGGAGGGAGAGAGACACTGCTGCGGTGCGACCCCGGGCGGCTGTCGGGGGGGAGGGGGGAGCTAGTGCCACCCTGAGCGGAGGGCTGGGGAGACCTGGCCAGTCAGGTTGCTTTGCCTGGCCAGGTAGTTGGTGACCAGCTGCAGGGGCTGCTGTGAACACTGGCTCCTGCAGTGTGTGCCCGTGCCACGGGAGGGGGCCCTGCGTGCAGTGATGCCCTGGGCACTGCCCTGTAGCAGCCGTGGGCTCCGCCTGGCTCCTGGGCGCGGGGCGGGGCGGGAGGCTGCCTCGCTGCGTCTCCTGGGGCACGTTCAGGGAAGGGCTCGCTGCCCCCGCCAGGTTTGCTTTGGCCGGTAGCCGGAGCGCTTTCCTGCTCAGCCAGCCCCTTCCTGGAAGGCACCTTTGCCCGGAGCTCTGCAGCGGGTGGGGGCTCTGCCTGGCCGAGGGGCTGGCGGTAATGAGATCACCCCCACTTCCCAGAGAGCGTGGGGGGAGCAGTGGGCCATGACCGGTCCCATCCCTGCAGGAGTGGGGCTGCTCCCCCTTTCAAGGCAGGAGGGGGGTCTAGGGCCAGGGCTCTGCTCATGCCGTCACTGGGTTGCACTGGTGTCATGGGGAACAGGATACGGCCCCCTGAGGCCTGTTCAGCTTCTGGGCTCACCAGCAGGAGGCAGGAGTGAGCAGGCTGAGACACGGGGGTGGGCAAGACCCCCCAGCTGGCAGATCTGGTCCGTCCCATAGGGGCCAGCAGGGGCGGGCTCCCCGTTCCATGATGCCAGGAGAGCGAGGATGGGTGAGCCCTGCGCAGGCTCACGGTGCTGTCTGTGCCCACAGGAGGCAGGGCTTAGCTGGCAGCTCTGGTACCCCACCCTGTGCTGCAGCTGCCTGCACCAACCCCAGAGCTGCAAGGAACTCAGCAAACCTGCCACCCCACGGCCTGATGGCAGCAGCTGCTGCCTCCGCCAGCCCCAATGGCACCAGGGCTGGACTGGGCCACGCCTGCCCCGGTGGGCAGCCAGCCTCGCCCTGGGGAACTGCCTGCTACTGCCCCGAACAGCTGCATGAGACTCCGGCAGAGAGGGGGCTCTGGGGAGGCCCTGGCCTCAGGCCGGAAGTGGCTGGGACAGGAGCCCTTTGCCTGGGCCAATGCCCCCTGACCAGGCTCCCTGGCCTGCAGCTCGGCTCACTGGGCAGGCCGGGCTAACAGGCCCCATGCAAGCGGGGCAGCGCCCTGGCTCAGCACAGCACCTCGCTCCCCCCCCCCCCAAATGCACTGGAGAGGGGGCAGGGCTGGCGGGGGCCCAAGTCCGTGCCCGAGTACCCCGCGCCTGCACTGAGCACTACCAGCCGTGCGCCCTACCCCCACTGCACACGCAGCATCCCCCCAGCCCAGCGCGGAGCCCCCAGCGTCACACCAGCCAGCCGCTCCCGTCCACTCTTTATTGCCCTGCGGGGCCTAGAGTTTGGGGTAGTTCTCTGGGGCGTAGGGCAGGGGCTGGTCCAGGTACTCGCTGATCGGGGTGGTGAAGGTCGCGTTCCTCCTAAAGGGGGTGTCGCTGGTACGGATGTTGGAGACACCCTGAAAGAAGAGGAATTGGACAGTGTCCCAGGGGAACAGAGCAGGGCTTCCAGGGAGGGGCCTCAGCTGGGGGATGTGGCAGGCCCCTCGCTGGGGGCGGGGCAGAGGCAGCAGGGCCCCCGGCTGGAGGGATGTGGCAGGGCCCTGGCTGGGGGACGGGGCAGAGCGGCAGGGCCCCCGGCTGGAGGGATGTGGCAGGGCCCTGGCTGGGAGATGTGGCGGACGCGGCAGGGCCCCCGGCTGGAGGGATGTGGCGGACGCGGCAGGGCCCCCGGCTGGAGGGATGTGGCGGACGCAGCAGGCCCCCGGCTGCAGGGATGTGGCGGACGTGGCAGGCCTCCGTCTGGGGACGGGGCAGAGGCGGCAGGGCCCTGGCTGGGAGATGTGGCGGACGCGGCAGGGCCCTGGCTGGGAGGATGTGGCGGACGCGGCAGGCCCCCGGCTGGGAGATGTGGCGGACGCGGCAGGGCCCCAGCTGCAGGGATGTGACGGACGTGGCAGGCCCCTGGCTGGGGGACGGGGCAGAGGTGTGCTGAGGAGAGGAGCAGGCGTCACTCCACTCCCCTGCCCGCGGGGGTGGCTGCCAGTCTGTTGGGTCAGGAGCCGTGCGCGGGAGGCAGGTGGGAACGGCTGAGCTGCTGGGGTAGTCGCTCGCTGCCCGCAGGCAGCCTGGCTGGCATGGACTGGGGGTACTTACAGGCAGCTGGCGGGCGCTCTCCAGCCAGAAGGTGTGGGGCTGCTCCAGGCGATAGTCGTGGGGCTGGGAGAAGCACAAACGCAGAGCGTTCCCATCAGCAGGGAGTGCCCGCCGGCTGTGCAGGGAGCTGCACCCCCCAAGGCTTCCCAAGCTCCTGGGATGGGCGCTCGGCTTGCCCTGTCTGAGGACCCCCCAGGGGAGTTTCCTGGCCACGGCATGCCCCAGCCTCCCCGAGGCGGGCACTACAGCGTGGGCAGCTCAGCCCCCGTCAGCGCTGGCTGTGATGCCGAGCGCCAGGACCAGCAGGGGCTGAAAGGCTGCGCATTACCCCAGCTGGGAGAGTGCAGGTGCCAGGTCCCTGCCCTGGCCATGTACCCGGCCACGTGCCCGTCCAGCTACCCCTCTGCCTGGCCCCTCCTCCCCCACCCAGCCCACCCGCCCTGTGCCCCACCTCCCTTCCCTGCAGGCTGGTGCAGAGTCCTGGGCCCTGGTCTCACCCTGCTGGGGGGCGGCAGTACGGGCTGGAAGCCCTCCTTGCAGTAGTGCCGGTGGGTGGTGGAGAGCGACTCCATGGGCCCGGCGGGAGGGTAAAGCTCCGTCAGGGTCTCCTTCCTGCAGAGAGATTCGGGGGTTACTGAGGGACGGGGTCGCGGCTCCCCAGGCACCTGCCCCCGTGGCCCAGCGGGGAAGTTCTGCAACCACACAGGACCCAAGCTGCAAAGAGCCCCGCCCCCATGGGGAGGAGCCTGCACAGAGTTTCCCCTGGCCCCGCCCCAGGGGAGGAGTCTGTGAAGAGCCCCGCCCCCTCCCAAGGGTGGCGCTGGGGGAGTGTTAACGTGCTCAGGAGCAGGGCTTGGCTGTGCCCTGGTGCCCACGCGGGCACTGGCTGCAGAATGACACATATCAGGCTGGGCTGCAGCCTCCCAGGGGCTGGCCAGGGGGAGCAAAGCCGACGTCCTCTCTGTCCCGGCAAGCCAGTGCCCCTGCAGCATCACGTGGGCCCTGCCTGGGCCGTGCCCCCAGGGCTCCCATTCGTCAGACACCCAAAGCCGCTGGCCGCCCCCTGTGACCCCCCCAGAACAGTCCCTCTTCGGGGCTCCATGGGCCAGCTGGGACACCCCACCAGACCCAGAGATGGTGCCCCTCCTCGGCCTCCAGCTGCCATCCCCCAGGCCAGGCCCATGGCCACCCGGGCATTTCCCTCCCCACTGGGCATGTGCTAGAACAGGTACCCCCAGTGCTCCCGGGCCCAGCCCCGCCTGCTCACACTGCGCCTGGGGGGAGCGCTGCCCCCCAGACTCCTTGGAAGGGCTCCTAATCTCTCCTGCTGCCTCTGCTTTCCCAGGCTCACAACAATGGCTTCCCTTATCACGGGCTGGGGAAGCTGGCCAGGACATGGGCCCCAGGCGCTATCACGAAGGAAAAGCAACAGGAAACCCCCAGGCCTGGAGCATGACGCAGCCCCGCGGCTCAGCACAGGGTGCAGGCGAGGAACAAGGAGGCCGCAGGCCTCGACTTGACTCTGAGCTGGACTTGCCCTGTCCCTAGGGAGCCAGCCCTGCCCCCACCGAGCTCTGAGCTCTGGGGTCCGGGGCCCACGCTGCCCTGTCCCTGGGGACCCAGCCCTGCCCCCCCGAACTCTGAGCTCTGGGGTCCGGGCCCACGCTGCCCTGTCCCTGGGGACCCAGCCCTGCCCCCCCGAACTCTGAGCTCTGGGGTCCGGGCCCACGCTGCCCTGTCCCTGGGGACCCAGCCCTGCCCCCCTGAACTCGCACCTCGGGGTCCGAGCCCACGCTGCCCTATCACCATAGGGCTGAACCAGGAATCAGTCGGCAGTGGCCCCAGGCCCTTCGCAGCAGTGACCCACCTCAGTGAGCCCGCCAGCCGCCCCGCGGGGGTGCTGCAATCCAGACAGGTACCTGGCACTGGGCCACATGGAGCGCTCACCTGGCGGGGCCTGGGCCACCCAAGTGTCTCATATCCCCCTCCAGGCTGAGTACCAGTCTGGGCCGGGCAGCCTCGAGAGGGGCCAGGCCGGGCTGGGGCTCTAGGTATGCAGGATAA